CTGGGCCGCGCGCTGGTCTCCCGGCGCCCCGCTCTCCGCAGCGTCGCCTGCCCAGTCGGCGGGCGTCCAGAGGCAACAAGGAAGAGGTGCGAGAAGGGCGTGAGGCGCGGCGGCGAGGGCAGGTGTCCGAGGCAGCTGTCTGCTCGTGCGCAGCGCTGCCCTGCGCTGGGATTTATCGAGAGACAGCAGCTTAATGCAAAGCTGGGGATGAAACTTTGGTTTCTGAATCCCTTCCAACGTTCTCTCCACTGCTCACTAGAGCTTCTTTGGAGAAGTAGGCAAGGGTGACGTTCCGTGTGGCTCTGGAGAAGCTCGGGTGACTTCAGAGCTGAGGGCACTCCCGTGTCACTGAGTCAAACCAGACGTGACTCAGGGGCCTACACCTAGCGGAGCACCCTCCACACCACGTCCTTTTTCTAGCCGCCTTCCACCTCCGAGAAGGAAAGGAAACTACGAACTGGGAAGAGGTTCCGGCCGGCTGGAACTCCAGCTTCGCCCTCCCCTTCGCCCGGCCGCCCTGCTCTTTTCCTTCCTTTCTTTTTTGCCAAGGTGCTGCGTGAGGTCACCGCCCGCCTCCCAAGGGGCCCTGATGAATTGTTTCCGCCTTGCCGGGAGAGGGTTTCTTCAAAGATGAGGAAATTGATACTCTTAAGAGGGGAACTGATTTGGTAGCTGGAATTTTTCCTCTCTTCCCCTTGCCCTTTGGGGACTGGAAGTTAAACTCCAACGACCTGCCTGTCTGTCAGGTTGTCTGCCTGTCAACGACTCACCTGTCTGTCATCTGAGCCACACAAACCATCGGGGCACATTTTACAATCCACACAAAGCATCCTCAGCACGTTTTGCTCAAAACCCTACGGTGGCTTCCCACCATGTACAGGCACCTTTGCATGACACAGGAGTCCTACAGGGTTCAGGGGCTCAGCCACCACCCAGCTATCTGCCTTCCTCCTATATTTTAGCCTTCTTAATTATTAGTCTTTGTCCCCCAAAGACCTAGCCTTTTTTTTTCTTTTTTTTTTGTGGGGGGGGTAGTTTTTTTGAAAGTCTCACGTTGTAGTTCAGGCTGGCCTTGAACTCACTGTGGAGCCTAGGCTGGCCTCCAACAGTCAACGATCCTCCTGTCTCAGCCACCGGTCTGCTGGGATTACAGGCGTGGGCCACCACGCCCAGTTCCTGACTTGTTTTCTTTCTTTTTTTTAATTTGGTTTTTTGTTTTTTGGGTTTTTTTTTTTTTTTTTTTTTTTTTTTTGGTCTTTTTGAGACAGGGTCTCGCTATGCAGTTCAGGCTGGCCTTGAGCTCTTTTTGTAACCGGGGCTGGTCTCGAACTCGCAATGGTCGTCCTGCCTCAGCCTCCCAAGCTGGCTTGTTTTCTGTGTGCTTTTTCCTCTTCTTGGAACTCCTGGTTTCCCCCTACACCCTACAAAGATCCAGGCGGCCTGGGGACCTCCACCTCTGAGATTCCTTTTCTGGCTCCTCCACCTCTTGTTCGGATCCCTGCCTGCCTTTCTTTCTTTGCCCTCCTTTCACTTTGTGATAGTTATTAGTGACACCTTTTGTTTCCTCCAAAACCTGTGCAGGACTGGGATTGTGTCTTTCCACTCTTTGTATTCCTGCTGCTTCTTGGAAAGAGCGTTATAGAGATGATTGATAATTGTTGAAGGAGAAAAGCGGGTGAAGGTATGAATGAATGAACAGACAAGGGAATGCATTCCCCGCCTTGCCAACCCTGCTCTGCTTCTGTTTATCCTTCAGGATTAGGGCAGATGTGCTTCCCCCAGAGGCTTCTTGACTCTGGAATTCCTTTCTTGCCTGTCTATGATTACGTCTTCTACTTTTATCCCTTCTTCCTTTTTCATTTTCATTTTTTTTCTAACGTAGTGTTCCACTGGATGAATCATCACGGTGTTTGTCTTTATGCCAGATGGCTGTAGGGAGATAGATATATTTTAAAATACACTAATTTAAGCCTGACTGGTGGTGCACGCCTGTAGTCCCAGCACTTAGGAGACTGAGGCAGGAGGATCACCAGGACTTTGAGGCCAGCCTGGGCTACATAGTGAGTTTAAGGCTGGTCTGATTACATGGTGAGACCCTATCTCAAAAATAAATAAATAAATAAATAAATAAATCATGCTAACTGAGTATTCCCTGCGATTTCTCAGTCCTGCACCTCGTTCGTTAGAGTGCTTTCTCACCCACCTTAGCTCCATTCTTTGAAGCCCCACAGGCCACCACAACCTCCTCTACCAGGAAGGACTGAGGAGCCCCCGGTGCCTATAACCAGCCAGTGTGTCCATCAAATGGAGTCTGCAGGCGTCCTGGCCTGTTAACATTTCAGAAAGGGAGAGAAAATGCAGCCCAGCAGTGATAGATGGCTCCAGTCAATAGCCTATTGATCGGAAGATATTTCACTACATATATTTAAATGCACAAAGAAAAAGAAAATTATAAGTTACTATGATCATCCATTTCTCAATGTGCAGGTTCCCTGGGAGGGTCATTTCAACTCTGTCCTTTAATTAAAGCAGTGGTATGATTCCCCTTTGGCCCAAGGAAGTTGTTACCAAAACCACTAATTTTTTCCACCAGGACCAATATAGCTGGAAACACCAGCATACATCTTCTGTAAACAGATCCCAGGAGCAGCCTTCATTGTCTCCAGCTGGTGGATAGTTCAGCTTTATTACTTGGTTTCGGGTTATCATGGGGACAGGAGCAGGGTGGCTGACATTTATTGAGTCCACATTTCTAGTTGCCACACGTCTTTGATCTCATCTAATTTCTCACAACAACCCCATAAAGAAGGTTGCCGCTTCAAAAAGACAAATGGAAGGCCGAAGAGGTGAGAGGTCACACAGCGAGTCTGCTGGCTTCTAAAGGCCAGCAGATTTGCTGGGGTGTAGCCCATGTGCATCTGTCATTCATTCAGTAAATATTTGTTGAACACCTATGAGGTGCCAGGGCCAGGTAAATTAAGCTTGAACTTTATAGCCTAGCATACTAGTCTTCACAGTGGATCCTCTGCCCCACACCTACTTTTCCAACACCATTTCCTGAATTTGTTCTGCTTGCAGCACCCATTCAGTCCCCCAACCAGAATAATCCTCTCTCTGCAGGAAGTGCCTTTTATGTACCATGCTGCCTGCCCTTGGTCCATCTGGATCTCTACTGCAGCTCTAGTGGACAGTTCCCATGGGCAGCTGGGTCTCACCTCAAGCTCCTGGCACCCTCAATAGTCTCCATTTTTCTGCCCAAGGCCCTTTTTATCAAAGTCACCAAGCTCCCAAGAGCAGCTCAGATGGAAACTTCCAAAGGGGAAGTTAACCACCCCCTACCCCAGGGGTATCCCAAGGCTAGCAGATATAGGCACATACTTGTTATCCCAGTTGCTAAGGAGGCTGGGCCAGAGGGGTTGCAAGCTCAAGGCACACCTCAGCTAACAGTGAGACCCTACCTCAAAAAAAAGCAAAAACAAAGCCAGGTGCGGTGGCTCATGTCTGTAATCCCTCAGGAGGCTAAGGCAGATGAATCACCATGAGTTCAAGGCCAGCCTGAACTACATAGTGAGACCCTGCCTCAAAAAAAGAAAGTAGATAGATGATAGATAGATAGATAGATAGATAGATAGATAGATAGATAGATAGGGAATATAGCTCAATGGTAGAGGGTTTGCCTAGAATGTATGAACCCCGGAGTTCTAGCCCCAGCTACACACACACACACACACACACACACACACACACACAAAGAACCCCAGGCTCCTACCTTTGGAGGCCCTTTCTGATGCATATTTTGTCCTTATTTCTCAGGGATCAACAGGAATGAGCCCTGGTTTCTCACAGCAGAAGTGAGAACCAGGTAAATGAGAAGCAGGCAACAAGGACTCTCTCTCTGGGCTTTCTCTTGTCTGTCTGTGTCTCCTTTACTCCTGCTCCCTGGGACAACCTCTCAAGTAAAATACTTGAATAAAAGTCCTTGTCTCAGCCTCTGCTTTTTCCCCCTCTCTAAGACACCCTCCAAAGTCCTCAGGCCCTCTGTGATGGAGCCACAATGATGCTTCACATTTCCCAGTCCTTCCTGGCCCTCTCCAACTTGATTCGTTGTGCCGCTTCTCCTTTCCCCTTTCCCCGGGGAAACTTTTACACCAGTCAGAGCCCAGCTCACCTGTGACTTTCTCTCTGAAGCCGTCCCTTTCCCAGGCCCAGTTAGGCCCGACTGCCTACAGAGGGCCTTACCTCAGTCCCAGCTCTGGTCAGGCCACTCTGTAATTCATTCCCTGGCTGTTCAAGTCCATAAGCTCCCTGGACTACAAGGATCAGCTACTCCTGGCCTGCTGGCACCTTTTATTCCTCCGACTGCCTCAGTACCTAACAAGATGTGGAGCAGCGTCAGTGCCTAGTACTTTCTGCTGAGGAAATGAATGAATGACGAACAACTCAGTGAGTTTACTACTCATCTAGACTCTTTGGGCTGGGGATTTAGCTCAGCGGCAAAGCACCTGCCTGGCAAGCGCAAGGTCATGAGTTCAGTTCCCGGTACCGGAGAAAAACCAAAAAAAAAAAAAAAAAAAAAGATAGACTCTTTGGATCTCAAAACATCTCAAAACAGAACCATTCTCATCCAATGGGCAGAGTGGGAAGACACCTGTCAGGGTCATGCTGCTAGGGACTCTTTAAAAGAATTCCTTTGCATTAACAAGGGGGCAGCTAAAAAAAGCACAGTTTAGCTATCAGTCCTTCACACTTCCTGTGAATTGCCTTAGCCTTGCTTTGCTGTTGTTATCTGAGTTCAGTAGGAAGAGCTGGGTGGAGGCAGAGAATGAAGGCAGAGTGTTCAGAAGGAGGCTACCTGGGAAGAGTGGGACTGGGGTCTGAGAGCCGGCGGTGTAAACACAAAAAATCAGACTCCTCCTTTTGAGTACCTCTTTCCTAGGCTTTAGTTCTCTAAGGCAAGAGTTCTCTTAGCCAAGATTAGAATTAGCTGGGTGAGCTGGTCAGACTAGTCCCAGACCTCCTGCAGAATCAGTTCTTTCAGAATTTTGGGAGTAGGGCCCCATATCTGGAGTTTATTTATTTCTAGCTTTATTGAGGC